TATACTTCCCTTTTGGGTGTTTAAGGACATACAATTGGACCAGATAAACTGATTTGTTTTTACTCTTGAGGTCGTTAGAGGATTTGTTCCTCAGGGGTCCCATGGGGTTGGGAGAGCCCCTGGCTCCTTTCTTTTACCAGCTCCATCCATGTGAGGATATGAACAGCTGACCCTCCTGGAACAGGGACCTCTGGCTGACTAGATTTACCAGAAGGGCAGACAGGGGGAATGGATGAGGGTGCTGACAACACAGTGGACAGTGACAGGGATGGCAGAGTATTGAGCCTCTAGTGGGAGAGGAAGGCTGTCTATCTGACGAGTTTGTATTCATGCTCAGATGCCGAGGAGCTCAGAAGGTGGGCGACTGTGACCAGTGATAGTCATGTATATAGAGATTAGAAATGCATGTGAAAACGTCTCAATGTCAATTGCTTTGGAATGAATTCTTCTGTATGAAAAAAAAAATAAAAAAAATAATGATTAAAAAACAAACAAACAAAAAAAAATTTATACAAATGGATAAAATATTTCCAAACTGTGTTACATCTTGTTCATGCTTGGTTTAGTTAGTGCATAGTGTTAGCCTCAGTATTTGCAGATGTGGAACCCATTTGAGAGATATCAAGTACACCTGGTCAGGTAAGGCACATGTGCTATCCACCAGGATGGTTGGGAAAAGTTTACAACACGCTGGGTCTGTAGATGCTAAAGAGTAAACACATCTCTTACAAAAATAAAAACAGATACATCCGGCCAGGCATGGTGGTGCATGTCTGTAGTCCCAGCACTTGGGGAGACCCTGATTCAAAAAGACCATAAAAACAAACCAACAAACAAACAAACAAAACCCAAACCAAAACCCCAAACCAAAAAAGAGGCATCCAGAAACTGTACAGTTGTTAAATGAGAATTCCAGTGCTGGGGTGGGTTGCCTCTCTATGATCTGTTGTTCAGGGAGGCTCCAGAGGCCCCCAAAAGAATAAAGGCTATTGCCACTAATGTCGGTTGTATTCCAATCCCAGATGATAAGACCATATTGCTAAAGACACTGCTAGGACTAAACTAGAAACTCCCCACTGCCAATGGCTGGCCTTCATAGTGCCAGGGGGTGCTATGCAGATTGCTGGGAGAGAATTGTCCCCAAAAGTTCTGCTTAATGACAGATCCCTTGCAATGTCAACATACCAAGCAAGATGCGCCTGTTGGTTCAATAGTGGCACAACTAATATATGTACAACATAATTTTCCAAATGGATTTAAGGCCTGCTCCTCTAATTTTCTCCTGGTTTTTCTGGAATTGGCCACACACTGGTGCAGTTGGGTAGGACTGGAGAGAAAGAACTGGAATCATGGCGCTCCTTCCTGTGTGATCTCATGTGTCAGCTGGCCTTTCCCCCTTTCCACTTACTAAGACTTATCTAGTAAAATCAGTTGCAGTATCATAAAAATTCTGATTAGAAGTTACCTCAATATAATAAGTATTTGTCAAGTAAAAATAGATTTTTTAAATGATGAAATTTAATTACCTCAGCCATGTAGGTGGCACCTGGCTATGATCCCAGCACTTTGGAGTATGAGGCAGGAGGATCCTATGTTTGAGACCAGCTTGAAAAACAAAACCCTATCTCAGAGAACTTCAAAAAGAGGTTAATTTCTCAATTTGTAACTGAATAAATGTGTTTTTAGTATCTGAATATCTGAAGGGGAGAGGAATAACTTTCCATCATATATATCACATTTCCCTTCACTCACCCATCAATGGATACTTGGGTTTGAGTGCTCTGTCTGCATGTATTATGTGCACCACATGTGTGTGGTGGCCTCAGAGGGCAGAAGAGAACATTGGATGGACCCTGGAACTGAAGTTATAGACAGTTGTGAGTGGCCATGGGGGTACTGGGACTGGGTACCAGGTTCTCTACAAGAGCAGCCAGCACCACTGAGTGCCAACCCCTTCTTTTTACCTATTTGAGAATTTCATCATCAGCACTGTATTCTGTATTTACATCATTTTCACCCCTCCTTAGCTGCTCCAACTCCTCATGTCTTCCCCACTCCCCATCAATTTCATCACCTCTTCAATTATTGTTACAGATACACACAATTTGCTGAGTGCATTTAGTGTTGCTTGTATATTGTGTTTAGGGCTAACTACTGGAATTGGACAACCGATTAGGGTCTCATCCCTGGAGAAAACTCATTCTCTCTCTCAGTATCCATTGATTGCCTGTAGCTCTTTGGCTAGGAATGGAGCCTTAAGTATTCTCCAGGAAACCAGGTCTCTCTCTGGCTACTTCTGAAATTTCTTTAAGGTGTTTTAATACACTTAGTTTTCTTTCATTTTTGTTTTGGAGACAGGACCTTGCTATGTACCACAGACTGGTCTACAATCATGACCCTTCTGCCTTAGCCTCCCAACTACTGGCATTACATGACTACAGATGACACGACATCTGGCTTGAATGATTTTTCAATTAAAAAAAAAATTGTCGTGGGACACAATTAGCTAAAACACTAAATCTAAATGACATTTACTAATATTAGTACACTTAATAAATACAAATATGCACTTACTAATATAAGTCAGACATCTAAGCAATTTTTTTCTTTTAAAATACTAGCTTTCAGAATTATAGTATTTTTTCTAAACAGTCTTTGTTTCTAGGTTGGTCTTAAACTTCTGGGCTCAAGTGACTCTCCTGCCTTAAGTCTCCTGTGCAGCTGGGACTCCAACTGTAGCATTTTAATAGTCATTAAGTGAAATCAAGATCGTCTGGACTTTCTTAGTTCATTCTTTTTTTTTTTTTTCCTTAAAAGAGAAGTCTGGGGGCTAGAGAGATGGCTCAGCAGTTAAGAGCACTGACTGCTCTTACAGAGGACCCAGGTTCAATTCCCAGCACCCACATGGCAGCTAAGAACTGTCCTTAACTTCAGTTCCAGGGGAATCTGAAGCCCTTTTCTGACCTCCGCGGCACTGCATAACATGGGTGCACTCACATACATGCAGGCAATACACTCATACACATTAAAAAAAATAGTAATAATAAAAATAAAAAAATATATATAAAAAGAGAAGTCTGAATAATTAAAAATAGACCCAATACAGTGACTATTGCCTTCATTATCTATTATAAAGTTTCAAAATTCTTTCCATTTAAAACCCTTTGAGTTACTTCCCTATGGTCTTAAATATGGTCACACATCTAACAACAGTATTATACACTGTGTATTTTTCAAAGACAATTTTCAGACCCGAAAATGTGTTCAGCCCTTTAGAGTTACACTAAAGGACACTGCATTTTACCTTTGTGAAGATGGCCAGAGGCATGCCGTACTGGTCCTCTTCCAAACCAGAAATGAGCCCTGGTATCAGAACCACCTGGCCGGTATTAGCTTGAGGTTGCACAGTAATTGGAGGACTGTCTGAGAGCAAAGAGTCTTTTGGAAATGAGTTTGTTTGGTCTGACTCTACCTGTCCCCTTTCTTTCAAGTTGGGGTCCTCTAAAACACTAGGATCCAAAGTTTCCCAGTCACTTTCTGAAGACTCTGGAGATGGACGCGATGGAATTTTCAAATACCGACTACTATTGTTTGGTTCCTGTCCTTTGCTGTTATCTTCAACTTGATCAGTCTTGAGGGCAGCATCTCCTCCATGGTTTCCTGCCTTGATTTTCATGACAGTTCCCAAGCTAGTATTTGAAACATCAGGGGCAGACCCAGAAATAAAACCATCTGCAGGAAGATTATTTTCCTGAAGGCCAGAATCTTCAGACATACTCTTTCGAGGTCTGTATTGAGAACAGTCACTGAGGCCATGTTCAATCATGCCTGAAATAGACAACATTGGAGAACAGCTTGGTGTACAATAACACGGAAGATGAGAGCTGTTCATTTTGTTTTACATAGTGGAATTTTCTTATGAATTTTTAACTATAACTAATTTTATTATTATGTGTATGTATTTATTATTATGTGTCTATGGTATGTGCATGTGAGTGAAGGTGCCTGTAGAGGTCAGAGGTGTTGGGTTCCCCTAGTGCTGCATTTACAGGCAATGGTGAACCCCTGTGTGGGTGCTGGGACTCAAACTCATGTCCTCTAAGAGAGCATGTGCTCTGAACCTCTGATCAGCAATCCAGCCCCTGTAAAAAAATTTTCAAAGCTATACTCGAACACATTTTAGTAACATTTTTTAAAAAAAAAGTAAAGCTGGGAGCAGGCAAGACGGCTTAGTTGGTAAGCATGCCTGCCACTAAGCCTGAAGACCAGAGTTCCATCCCCGCAACCCATATGGGTGGAGAGAGCAAACACTCTCTCAAGTTGTCCTCTCATTTCCACCTGCATGCTGTGGCTCATGTGCTCATCCCCTACACAGGTGCACATAATAACTGTTAAAAATGCAAGGAAAGAAAACCCAGACTAAAGGAAAAAACCTATTACAAAAAGAAAAATGTCATAGTAAAACAGATATTCTAACCCTAAGGAGTTTGTTCCCATACACTTTTATTATGAAAAGTTTAATTCCCATAAAGTTAAATAAAAGTAGATATGGCCATCCTCTTACCTGGAAAAAGGGACAACACAGTCATCAGTGCACCCACCAATCTATTCACTGGAGAAATATAAAAAAGAACCTGAAATGGATTTAATTAAATTAGAAAATTGATGAGACCATAGTTCTAAAAGAGGGAAAGGAATTCTTTGCATAAGAATACTACTTAAATCTATGACTAACAATTGAAAAACAAACAAACAACTAGCATCCACCACAATTCAAATAAAAACTGCCAATGGGGGTTGGTGAGATGGCTCAGCAGATGCCCATCTGCTAAGTTCAATCCCCAGGTCTCACATGGTGGAAGGAGAGAACTGACTTCCAAACATTGTCCTCTGACCTCCATACATATGCCATAACATGAACACACACAAAATGAATAAATGTCATTAAAAATTTTAATTGTCAATGGGTGCTAAAATGACTGTGGCAGATTGTTAGGCAACAAGAATATTCACAACGTTTGAATTTATTATCTTACAAATTGATGATTAAGGTAATTTACCACCTTATACATAAAATAACAATAAAGAAAAAAAATTGAAACCCCACATATCTTAAAAGCAAAATGAACAAAAAAGTGAGGTCATGGATCGATCTGAGATTCAAGAGAGCTAGAAACTAACACAGGACTGTTGACCCGACGTAAAGAACAAGAGAAATCATCTGGGGCTGGAGACATGGCTGAGTAGTTAAGAGCACTGGCTGCTTTTGTAGAGGACCCAGGTTTGAATCCCAGCACCCACACAGAGGCTAACAACTGTCTGTAACTCCAGTTCCAAGGGGAACTGGACACCCTCTTCTAACCTCCTCAGGCACTGCATGACACAGGTGCACTTACACACATGCAGGCAATATACTCATACACATAAATAAAAATAATTTTTTTTTTTTTTAGTTTTTTTGAGACAGGGTTTCCCTGTAGCCCCAGCTGTCCTGAACTCACTATATAGACTAGGCTGGCCTTGAACTCACAGAAATCTGCCTGCCTCTGCCTCCTTTTTTAAAAATAAAAGATCATCTATATATTTTATCTCTAACAAAACTGTTAGTTGAGACCACCTCATTTGTTCATTATCTCTCTATAAGTATATAAAACCCCAGCTCCTTACTGTTCTCTAAAACTATAATTTTTACAGAAGATAAATTACTAAGAGACTGATGCGACGTCTGGCTAGAGAGATCTGAGGAATAAGTGCAAAGACTAAAGCACAACAGAAACATTTAGAGTGTGAAGATTAGATGGCTACGTAAAATCAGAGTCACTGGTGTCTAATATCTTCTTTGTCCCCACAGGCTGGCCTATACTCACAATATAGCCCAAGCTGGTCTTGAATTTGTCATGATCCTCTTGCCTTAGCCCCGCCTGCAGCACTAGGCTTGTCTTTCGGTTTGTTTTGTGTGTGCTCATGTACTTGTCTGAGAATGCCTGTGAGGATGGGGTCAACACTGGGTACCTCGCTTTACTACCCTGCTAGCTTTTGAAATAAAGTCTCCCACTGACTCTGGAACTTATCAACTGCTAAGTGGACAGGCAGCAAGCCTCAGGGATCTTCCTGCTACACCTCCTCAGTGCAGGGGTCACAGTGCATGCCATCGTGCCAAGTTTTCTTCATGGTGTTGGGGATCAAACTCAGGTTCTCATGCCTGCATGGCGAGAACTTTACTGACCAACCATCTCCCTAGACCCCAAGATTCTAACAAAATAAGAATCTACTCTACGAGGTCCCCACTGTGACATTCAACACGCTAGTGACATCTTTTATCTCTACATAGTGTAATTATTACACAAGTTATTTCCTGACAAAGCCTATTACCAACCCCCCCAAAAAACAACAGTCACCAAGGACATTATAGCTATAAGGGGTGATACATGCCTGTAATTTAGAAGATAGAGGTGGGGGATTACAAGTTTGAGACCAGCCTGGGCCACATTAGACCATTAGACACTAGACACCCTATTCAAAAAAAAAAAAAGGAAGAAAAGAAGGAGATGTGGAGATGTTACAACACCTAGGGCGGAAAACAGATTGCATATTACAGTCTTCAGCCTAATTTTAATGACTATTTGTTTACAAAACTGAGATCTCATGCTTGATAGATAACTGGACAACTTTTTACTTAACATGCCATGAAATACATTTTGACAATAAAAAGTACTTGATATTTATTATTTGGAATTACATGCAACATACAAAATACATAATTAATTAGCTACTAATTCACAGGTGGTCTGACACCTTACTTTCTGGGGGCATATATACACAGATACACACATACACATAAAAATAAAACAAATCTTAAAACAAAAACCTATCTATAAAAGTAGGTGGTAGGCCAGAATTGGCTATGAGGGCTACAGCAATCATGGTCATCCCAGCTCTTTGTACTACAAAGGGGTCTGGAAGCCAAGTTACACGTGGCCTAATGGGCCCAAACAAACTGAAGGGAAGAATTCAAATTCAGGGCCAAGCATGGTGGCACACGCCTTTAATCCCAGCACTCAGGAGGCAGAGGCAGGGGGATCTCTGTGAGTTCAAGGCCAGCCTAGTCTATATAGTGAATTCCAGGCCAGCTGAGGCTACAGGGAGACCCTGTTTCAAAAGATTAAAAAAAAAAAAAATTCAAATTCAATGATTTGGGAAGAGGCATTATCTCTGGTATCAATTATGCTTGAGAAAGCAAACAGCCGGATTATGGTTGGCAGTTTCCTATACTACAAGGGAGACAAGCTGTGGACAGGGCAAAGAGAAGAAAAAAAACCAATGTAGTGATACTCTGGAATCATGAAGTCAACCATTCAGCCTTGAAGTCTGAATGAGCAACACATTTCTATTTAGTTAGTTTAAACCTGGGTTTTTTTGTTTCTTTTGGTGAAAACTATCCTCATAATTGAATATTCTATTAAACTACCCTCTAAAAGAACACACAAATTTATATTTCTATGACAGTAAAAAGAATTATGTGCTTCAGATAACCCAGTCTTAATATATCATTAATCCCCATTTTAAATATGTAAGAAACATCAATGAAGGGTAAAACTGCTGGCCTTTTCATCTTTCTACATCTTACCTTTTTTTCCAGAAGAATTAGTTTAAACAAGATTAAGACCTGCAGAAAGTAAAAAAAAAAAAAAAAGCTGTATAAAAAATAAAACTCAAGCCTACGAGTCACTATTTCCTTTTCTCAAGTATAAGTGCACAGGGTGTGGGGTGTGCACACCCTTAAACCCAACACTGGGGAAAGTATGTGAGTTCTAGGTCAGCCAAGACTACTTAGTGAGACCCTTGCTGAAAAACAAAACAAAAATATAATTGTGTTATATAATATTAAATACTTACAGTGCTTAAAATATATGAGAAGCTATGACCTTGTACTGAGAAATTAACTATTACCTATGTCTTATAAAACTGTGAGAATCATTTCAATCTTTAAGTGAAATAATTTTTTTTGGAAGGAATGGTATCATCTCTGCTTGAAGTACCTACAAACTTTTGAAAGGGCAGAGATCTGGGGCTGGGAAAGTAGCTCAGTTGGTAGATGCTTGCCTAGCAAGCTGGAAGCCCTGTGTTGATTCCCAGCACCATATAAGCTAGACATGATGGTGGTGTACACTCGTAATCTAAGCATCCAGGAAGTGGAAACAAGAGAATCAGAAATTCAAGGTGAGTTCAACGCCAGTCTGGATACAGGAGACTCTATCTTAAAAAAGGAGGGAATGGCCATGGTGGTGCACATCTTTAATCCCACCCAGCACTCAGGAGGTAGAAGGAGGTGGACCTCTGTGAGTTTGAGGTCAGCCTGGTCTACATAGAGAGTTCCAGGCCAGCTGATGCTACAAGGAGGGAGACCCTTTCAAAAAGACCAAAGGGGAAAAAAAAAGAAAAAGGAGGGAATTTATTTATTTATTTATTTATTATTTATTTCTGGAGACTCAGGACATCAACATAGATATATAAATGTTTGATAAATAAATGATGAATGTGTGTATGTCCTAGTCAACATAAGCTTTAATAACAAAGATCATAATCCCTAGCACCAAAAAACAAAAGAGGCAATAACTGCAAAGACAAGAACAAAGAAAAACAAACAACCGTATTCAGCAGGAAGTACTCTGGGAACTTATGACACAAGCACTCTTGACATTTTCTGCTTTGTGCAGTTAGGAGCCCAAACACTGTTTCAGAACAGAAAAACCACAATTATTCTATAAACTGATTTTGATGCTGTTCGTCGAGTTTGTCAGGAAAAGAAACAAAAAAAGAATAGTGTCTCCCATTTTAGTACATTGTAAGTTAACAAGATATCACACCTTATGTCGAAAATGAAGGACAAGATCTCGAGGAGAGAGACCTACAATGTAAACAAAAAAAGTTAACTGTGACTAGTTTTTTGTGGAAAGTTAGGAAGAGAATATTTTTAAAAAGTAAATGAGCCATGCATGGTAGCGCACATCTTTAATCCCAGCACTCAGGAGGCAGAGACAGGCGGATCACTGTGAGACTCAGATCCTGGTCTACATAGTGAGTTTCAGGCCAGCTGGGCCTGCAGGGAGACTCTGTCTCAAAAAACAAAAACTTAATCATAAAGCTTATACTATATTGACAGTCAGTCATTTAAACATGACTTTTGCTCACCACATAATATACTTTTATTTCTGAATCACACTGTCTTTACCAATTTTCCAATCATGTTTCAAATACCACAGAAGAAGAGAAAATAATTTAGAGAAAACATATTCTCAGAATAGGAGCTCTGTATCTAGCTGACTTTATACATAAGACTACAACAGGAAACCACTATTTCAATACTTCATGTTGACATGGGAATTGAGGGAACATAAATCACCATGTCATTACAACTCTTTAACATAAAGAATAGTGAGGATCTCAGATACCAGTGGATATTCTGAGCTACCAAATATGGTACATTTAACAAATCCCAACCTGCAGAGTCAGTGGAGAGCTGAGCAGCTCACTCTCGTCCTCCTTCTCTGTTCTACTGGGAATTGAGCTGGTCAGCATTAATGTCAAGAAAAGAAAAAGTTCCAGTGCTATTCTGAAAAGCTGGAATTCATCACGCACAACCATGACTATTACTACCAGTATGATATGATAATCCATCTCAGCATAAACAATGGCTAAGAAGATATTTGAGGAAGCAAATTTTAACGATTTTAGATTCCATAGAAAGGTTATATAAATATTCAATTATTTGTATAATATTCAATAAAATACGTGTATGCTTAGAACAGCTCTGATCATGAAATTTTATATGTAACTCAGTTAGGGTAAACCAAAAGAAATGCAGATCTATTTCTTCTGACTTGTAAAAGCTACTTACCAAGGTATACTTGAGACCCTTCTAATGAAGTTCCCCCTAGGGACCCATTCATATGTTCATAGAGCTCCTATGAGACAGAGACTGAGTTTAGAACACTGTATTATCATTTTAGACACTAAGTGTTTAGAAACATGATGATCAGAAAAAAGTTGGCGGGTGTATTGTTTCTTCATTGATGTGACAAAACACTCCAACCACTAGCAACTTGGGGAGGAAAGGGTTTATTAGTCTTACATCTCCCAGGTCACAGTTCATCAGGGAGCCCAAGGCAGGAGCTCAGGGCAGAAACCTGGAGTCACGAGCTGGAGTGCAGGCCATGGAGGATCACTGCTTACTGACTTGCTCCCCTGTCTCTGCTCAGCCTGCTTTCTTATGCAACAAAGGCCCACCTGCCCAGGGGAGGTACCACCCACAGTGGGCTGGGCCCTCCCACATCACTTATTAATCAAGAAGATGCCCCATGGACATGGCCACAGGCCAGTCCAATGAAAGCAATTCCCCAATTGAGGCTCCCTCAACCCAAGTGTGTCAAGTTGACACTAAAGCTATCCAGCACAGCAGGTTACTCTGACCTGTACTAAACAACCCAGGTTTCTGAAACCTGCTAGTTTCTAGCACTCATTCCTCTTGTAGACATGAATACTCAGATTATCTGAATGAAAGCAGCAAAAACTACTCAGGGTATTCTCTTTCCATCTCAGAGCTTTCACAGTGGTATAATTTCCTACAATAACTTCCCTTTGCCGCCTCAGTAATTCCTAACTGCCTTTCTCAGTAGTGCCCAGAAGAGATCCATAACTGTGCATCCATAACAAAATGCCAGTCTTGAGAAAAACATGGTATTCCTTTTTCAATAAAATACTAAGAAACTAGAAACCAGGTACTCAAATTTATAGACACCACAGAAAATGACCCATAAGAGAAACAATTAATATTTGTTATTTCTAGTCATTATCTCCTCCAAAAAGACAGTCTGACTAAATTATGTACTTGGGCAGATCTTTCTGGTATTTTAATGTTTAACACAACTAGATTTTTTTCTTTAAGATTTATTCTTGGGGTCTGGAGAAATGGCTTAGTAGTTAAAAGCACTTGCTACTCTTGTAAGAGGCCTTGAGTTCAGTTCCCATTACCCATGTGAGGGGGCTCACAACTCTAACTCCAGCTCCAGGGGAGCCAATGTTAGGCACATGCTCCCACTCCCAATACACACATTAAAAAAGATCAATTTTGGCCGGGCGTGGTGATGCACGCCTTTAATCCCAGCAGTCGGGAGGCAGAGGCAAGTGGATCTCTGTGAGTTCAAGGCCAGCTTGGTCTACATAGTGAGTTCCAGAACAGCTGGGGCTACAGGGAGACCCTGTCTCAAAAAGACCAAAAAAAAAAGATCAATTTTAAAAATTTTATTTATATGTATACGAGCCTTCATGTATGTATGTACTTGTGTGTGGGTGCCCTTAGAGGCCAGAATAGGGCATCAGATTCACTGGAGCTGGAGTTACAGGTGGTTCTAAGTTGTGTCTGACCTGGGTGCTGGGAACCTAATTTGGGTCCTCTGCAAGAGCAGCAAGTGCTCATAACCAGTAAGCCATCTCTCCAGCCCCAAGCAAAGGGATTTATTTATTTATTTATTTATATTTATGGAGACAAGGTCTCACTACGTAGCCCCTGCTGGCCTGGAACTCGCTACGTAGATCATCCCAGGCTGGCTGATATCTTACAGAGTACTGCCTGCCTCTCCCTCCCACAAGCTGAGATTTTTTTTTTGGTCTTTTTGAGACAGGGTCTCCCTGTAGCCCCAGCCGTCCTGGAACTCATTATGTAGACCAGGCTGGCCTTGAACTCACAGAGATCTGCCTGCCTCTGCCTCCCAGTGCTGGGATTAAAGGCGTGCGCCACCACGCCAGGCATAAGCTGAGATTTTAAAGCAATGTCTTTCTTAAGCTAATCAATGACTATATTTCATAGTCCTGAATTCATTCACTTTTAGCAAAACATTTCTTTTTTTAAAAAAAAAAATATTTTCAATGACACAGAGGTCAGAAGAGGGCTTCGGATTCCCCTAGAACTGAAGTTAAGGACAGTTTGTAGCCGCCATGTGAGTGCTGAGAATCCCGGTCCTCTGCAAGAGCAGTCAGTGCTCTTATCCACTGAGCCATCTTTCCAGCCCACAAAACATTTCCAGTGGTAAACTTAGTTACCTTTAAAATGGAAATTTGGGAAAAATCCTTCTCTTCAAAATATGCATGTGTAATGAGTTGAAGTTTTGCTTGAAGTAAGCCATAAAGAGGCTAAAGAAAAAGAGAAATCACCATTAGGTTGATAAAAGTAAACAACAGGAACAAACAAATTCTTCCAACTTTTAAAGATAACAAATTAAAGGAAAGTTAGTTAACTACCAACTTTAGGGCTTCTGTTCACAATGGTAGCTATAGTAACCACCCATTCTCATTCTTTGGTTGCAGGTAAAAAGCTGGCTAGGCAATGTCATGTGATGATTCAGGCTCAGCCATCCTAGGCCTGGCTCCAACCCTCAGCTGCTTAACAAAAGGCCCTTAACCTCCCAGTCCCTGCTCACTAAGCGGAACAGTGAATCTTACATACTGTGTTAGATTTCTAAGATGGAACATATTCATCCTTTCATTTAATGATCTTCTCCAGATGTTTTGTTATATGCCCGTTTTAGGATGCAGAGATATAGATTGATGATAGATAAGTAGGTAGATAGATCTAGATATATATTAAAATAAGCAATATTGGAAGAGTACCCCTCACATTCCTGATACTGTTATTATCACCACCATTAAATTTTCACATACATTACAATGCACTATGAATGTTTCTGACTAAGAAAGCGCTTATCCCCTGAATCTGTTTTAGAGACAGGCATATCTGGATCTTTATTTCTATCATTTAGTAGTCTTAGATATGAGAATTAGATATTGTTTCTCTATTTGTAAAATGAGACAAGTGAAAACATCCCAGTGTTGCTGTGAAGATAAACGTGACACATGAAATGTCGGATAAAGAATGCATACTGACAGAGATAGGACTCGCAGTGCTTCTGTTATTGTAACTGTCCTCTGAAGGAGGATTATTCAGGAAGCCTCTCAGTGTTTATTAATTACAGTATTCCTATGCTTTGGCCAACTAGACCTGTATAAAAAATTAACTGGTATATACTTTTCACGCTACCCTCAAAACTGCATTATAAATGATTATTAAAATTATTATTATATGGTCAGGTGTGGTGGTACAGGCCTTTACATCCAGCACTCAGGACACAAAGGCAAGCAGATCTCGGTGAGGTCAAGGCCAGCCTAGTCTACATAGTGTGTTCCAGGCTAGCCAGGGATATACAGTGAACCTTTCTTAATTATTGCTATAATTATTATAATTATTAAAATAATTATTGTTCTGTTTTTTTTCTCCTCTTTTGCCTCTACTCCCTCATTTGCTTTAGTTAGTAATAAAAGTCCAAATAAATTATATCTTGCAAGTCAATGTACATTAGACAAAGTACATTTAAAATGCTTGTGGATAAAGAAAACTAGGTAATTGCCCAAGAAATAATTATTTTTAAGATTATTTTTATTTGGTGACTAGGCCAATGAAACATTCATTTTGGTTTAGGATAACTGCAGAACGGTTAAGGTGGTAATGATATAAAGAAAACATGATACAGATCTGGACCACTCCCCACAAGAAACTTTGGGGACTCTATTTTACAAGTAGAATTAGGCATTTACGTTACTGATAAGGGTGTCATTATTCCATTCGTTAGTAATAAACGTGGAGTACTGTAAATGACTGAATCATGAGAGTTACAAAACCAAGAAATGTCACTATCCCTCCCTCCCTCCCTCCCTCCCTCGTAGTGCTAGGGAAGAAAACCAGAGTTTTGCACATGATAGTTAAAGGCTCTACCACTGAGCTGCAGTCCAGTAATTTATTTTGTTTTAAAAAATAAAAGTAGCCAGGCATGGTGGCACATGCCTTTAATCCCAGCACTTGGGAGGCAGAGGCAGGTGGATCTCTGAGTTCAAGGTCAGCCTGGTCTACATAATGAGTTCCAGGACAGCTGGGGCTACAGGGAAACCATGTCTCAAAAAGACTAAATAAATAAATAAATAAATAAATAAATAAAGTAATTCAAGCATGGTGGTACATGCTGTAATTCTAGAACTTGGGAAGTGGAGGCAGAAGCTAGGAGTTCAAGGCCATCCTTAGCTATACATACAGTTCCAGGCCAACCGAGCTACATGAGACTCTGTCTTAAAATACAACAAAACAAAACCAATGTTAAAATGGGACTGGTGAGATAGCTCACGGGTAAAGGTACTTGCCACCCTTTGATCCATGACTGATGAATCAAGTTTGATCCCAGAACCCATATAAAGGTAGGAGGAAAGAACTGACTCTACAACGTTGTCCTCTGACCTCCACATGTGTACCATGGCATGCTTACCACCTCTCAATTAAAAAACAGAAATGAGGCTGGGCAAGGTGGCACATGACTTTAATCCCAGCACTCGAAAGACAGAGGCAGGAGGATCTCTGTGAGTTCTAGGCCAGCTCAAAAAAACCAAAAAAAAAAAAAAAAGAAAAAAAAAAAAGAAATGAATGTTTTTATGTGTAATTGTTAATATTATGAACTTGAAAAGATGTGAAAAAGATTATACACTTGTATCTGATCAACTTCTACTGAGAGGAAACAATTCTCAAATATTGATAGCATAGTTCCACCATTACATCACCACTTCTCTCAAATATTCTGAAATGTTAAAGTACATACTAAGGTTAAATCGTTTTCACTGTGACAGTTATGACATTCTGTATCATCAATAAAATTAGAGCAACTGTAGTATTTCAGTTAGTAAATATTATTTATACCACTGTCTTGGCAACAAACAAAACGATAAATGAAATATAACAGCTACTTCACTTTGGTCTAATGTCAACCTCCTTCCCCACAACTGATCAGACTTCCTCCCTCTTACCTCATTACAAAGGAATTCAAGAACCTGACCAGTAGGCCCCTGACCAAAACTAGTAAGTCTTGCTCACAAATCTCTTCTTCTAATAAATTACACCTTTCCCTGAATGTTTTACATGTAAGTTACTAGGTCTCTTACCAGTTTGCTTAAAACACAGACGCTTTTCTGAACCGTCTCTCTGGTGATGTCAGCTTGCCTTACTTTTAATGCCTATTAAAAGTAAACAGTTATTTTCAGAAATATTTTAAGGCACCATTTACAAAACAATTTTCAATATGATAGTAATATTTAAATAGAAAAATTCTTGTAATTCAGTTAAGTTAGAAACTTCACAGTGACTCTCAGATATATCAGTTGAAGAAATGGTCAGCCTGGGATTTCATGCCAGAAACTAGGAACTGGGAATATGACAGGGAAGGGACATCCTTACTCCCAAGAACTTATAGGCTGATGGAAGTGCATTAGGTACAATTCACCACACCCAAATCAACATTCCATGGAAACCAACTAGGACTAGCTGACTGGATTAAAACATAAGACTACTTGTTGTCCCTAAGAAACATACCTAAAATTGAGTGAAAGAATGGAAATCAACCTACCAAGAAAATGGAAGCTTTAAAAAAGCTGCTGTAGCTACTCTAATATCTAATAAAGTAGACTTCAAACCTAAACTAGTCAGAAGGCCATGGCAGAAGTGTTGTGAACTGATGTTCAAATTTACTTCCAGACGCATTGCCTCTCATGCTTAGTAATGCTCCTGAAAATGCTGAGGTATTCTGCTTTTATACATTTAATTATCCCACTGCTGTTTAATTCTATTTTGATCTTGATGCCTTTGCTCTTTCATTACTTATTATGTAAACTCAATATATGACAATAGAAATAATGTATAAACAACAACAACAAAAAGAGATAACCAATCCTGGAGGCCCTGGGGGGAAAAGGAGTCCTTACTCATTCTAAGAGGGAGTACAAACTGCCAGTAGCTTGCCCTAGCTCACTCACTACCCCCACACTTTTTTTTTTTTTTCCTTTTATGGTGTAGTAAGCACTATAACCAAAAGCACTGGGGAGGACTGAATTTATCTGGGGAGGAAATGATTTATTTGGCTGACACTTCCAGGTCACAATCCATCACTGAATCCATGGAGGAATGCTGCTTACCTTGCCCCCAGGCTCATATTCAGCAACTTTTCTTACACAGCCCAGGCCCACCAGCCCAGGGAAGATATTGCTCACAGTGGGCTGGGCGCTCCTACATCATTCAGAAAACAAGAAAATGTCCCACAGACATGCCCACAAGCTATCTGATCAAGGCACTCCCGTACTGAGACTCCTTCAAATAATTCAGGGCCCTGGTGACAGATGAAGCTAACTACAGACAGCCATTCTAGATACCAGTAGGGAGGTTCCCAAACAGTAAAAATTGGGGACTGGAGTGATGGCTCATCAATTAAGAGCACATACTGCTCTTGTGGAGCAAGAATCCATATCTGGTGGCTCATAACACCTGTAACTCCAGCTCCAGGGGATCTGATATCCTCATCTGGTCTCTTGAGAGTACCTGTACATATTACATACCAATACACATATAGACACACAATTAAAATATTAAAATAAATCTAAAATAATGAAAACAACAAACACTCTGAAAATTGAATACCCAGCTACACCACTCCTGAGTCTATACTCAAAGCAGTCTGGGGCTTACACAGATGTCTACCTCCACACCCACCCTTATTACACAGATGCCTACCTGTACACCTGTCTTCATTACACAGACGTCTACCTGCACACTCATCCTCATTACACAGATGTCTACCTGCATACCCAACCTTACTACACAGATGCCTACCTGCATATCCACTCTTACTGCTGTTCTGTTCATAGCAGCTAGGGAATGGAGTCAGTCCAGATGTCCATGAACAGTTAAGTGCATAGTAAAAATGTGGTACATATACACAGCAGGATTTATTCAGTTGTAAAGTAAAACGAAATCATGCTATTTTCAGGAAAATGAATGGAACTGGAAATTACCTTAAATAAAGTATCCTAGACCCAGAAGGAAAAATATTGCATATTTTCTCTCTTATGTGAATCCTAAATCTTAACTTTTTTAAACATTAAAAAATTTTTCATTATTTTTTTTTATGCGTATGTGTATTGCCTGCATGTGTGTAAGTGCACCTGTGCCGTGCAATGCCCGTAGAGGTCAGAGAGGACATGAGATCCTTGGGAACTGGCATTATAGACAGTTGTTATCTGCCAAGGGAGTTCTGGGAATCGAATGCAGGTCCTCTGCAAGAGCAGCAGTGCTCTTAACTGCTGAGCCATCTCTTCAGCCCCCTTAAATTTTAATTTTTATTTATGTGTATGTATATAGGCACAGGGCAAATAAAAAGGGGACCAGGGGAGAGTCTTGAGAGGGATGGGAAAAAAAGGAGCATACACGTGACATAGAAGTAGAAAAGAGGCTGGAAATGGGGAAAGGGACCAGTGGGAAGGAACAGGGGCTGAAGGAGGGAGGTGCAGGAAAAAGATCAACAAAAACAAAATACAGACCCAGAACCCCTGGTGAAGCCCACTGCTCTATCCACTAATTCTAAAAAGAAATAAAATGGATTTTAAAAAAACCCTGCTAGGTGTGGTGGCACATACCTTTAATCCCAGCACTCAGGAGGCAGAGGCAGGTGGATCTCTGTGGGTTCAAGGCCAGCCTGGTCTACACAGCAAGTTCCAGGCCAGTTGAGGCTATAGGGAGACCCTGTCTCAAAAAGACCAAAAAAGAAAGAAAGGAAAACCACCATCATCACCACCAGAAAGCCTCTGTGATGATCACATGATATGGCATCTTTGGCTTTAGATCCAGTTCTTCACTTACTAACATTAGCTGCTAAGCCCCATGTTCTGGGGTCTATGCTTCAAGGGCTGTTTCAGGAAAGCTAACTACTTCGAGTGCCCTATAATTTACACCTGTAGTTTACAACAAATGTCTTAAATGGTTCAGTTAAAAACCAAACCAAACCAAAACCTTCCAACAAATCCACAGGCAAATGTGGCAGAACAGTACGAATTGCTGAAATAGGTTGCGTGCACACAGGCATTCACTGTATCATTCTTTTAATTTACCTAAATATGTGAATTTTTCATTATAAAAAACAGTGTAGCTTAGAAGCCAGCCATGAAAAGGAGGAACATCTGCATTGGTCTATGAGGCGAGGACTTTCTGGGAATGAACCATCTTGCCTAACCTTATAACCAAAGTTAATCTTATGTTTTGAGACCACAGAACAGTATTCTGTCTACGTCTCTACTGTGCAATCAGCTTATTTAAATCTAATTAGCCTTTAGAAATGACGTGAACAGTTTTTCCAGGTCTTGGGCTCTTGTAATCAACTTTTACAAGCTGAGCTAAACATATAGCTTTGATCTTAGATTATGTCCCCTATGTCTCCCTCAAGATCTTTTTCTGTCCGAGGCCCAGATTAGCGTGTGTGTGCATGTGTATTCTGAAAATATCTCTGGAAGCAGCAATGTTGAAAGCAAGGAATTATCCACCTCTGTGAAATAGGTGCAACTAGATTGGTAACACCTGTGGCTTTGAATGCTGTTCTGGGTCAGCAGGGTCAGAAAGGCATATTCTTCCATGATAAGACAGAGTTCCTCATCTCCTTTCCCTATGATGTTGGATGTTCTGTTTAAATTTTTTAAAAAAAGAGAGAGAAAGGAAGAGAGCGAGAGACTGCCTTTTGTTGGAGGAAGAGCTCCAGAGAAATCAGAAGGAACAGTTCTGAGAACAGACCAGGCTCACCCTGGCTTTAACAACCCAATAGTTAGGCTGCCTTTGTTCAGGAACCACATTGTGGCACCTGTTGAAAGGGTATGTGATTAGCAACACCATAGTAAATCGGGTATTAAGCAGGCAGAATAATCAAAATCTTAGAAAAAATTAAAATAACTTGTGAGCAGTAGAATGGCCTAGAACTACTGAACTTTCTGACCCCACCTCAAAAGCTGGGATTACAGGCATGTGACCATGCTTGACTAGTAACTTGTACTACTTCTATAATGCTGTTTTTAAAAAAAGAAAGAGGCCTCCTGGTGCTTACCACAGGCTGTGTTTTTACACTGACTGTACAGAAAGAGGAAGCAGAGGAAACCTGCCCCATATACACCCCAGCCCAGGCCACTATGCCTGGTCTATATTATGAATGGGGAAACATGGATTTAAAAAAAGAAAGGAAAGAAAGACCCACACATCACCATAACCCCATTTTTCTAAGTTAATACAATTTTATAAGACTCCAACACTGGCCCAGACCAAACCAAAGAGGTTTAATCATGAGGAACTGAGCTTTGGTTGGTTGTGGGAAACCGTGAAGACAGGTACAGAATTAACTTACCAACAGGCTGATTGACTAGGGCTGTGGCAAACTAGGTTGATTTCTAAGCCTTGTTTTTCTAATGCTGTCTAATCATACCACTTGCGGGAAGTCTCAGAATGTACTCTGCTTCTACCAATATGTGAACTGTTTTGTATTGTTTTTGTATAGTAAAACTTTACTAGATTTAATCTGGCAATTTTCCTTTAACACTACTGCTGTGGTTTGGGCAAGTGTGCCCCACTTATAAATAAAGGCCCAGGTATTAAAGGGTTGGTTACCAGCCTGTGATGCTATTGGGAGGCAGTGAGGTCTTTAAGATGTAGGTCTCTAGCTTAGCTTAAGTTAGATCACTGAAAGTCCTTGAAAGGGAACAAGGACCCTGGCCCTCCCTTTGTCACTTCTGCTAAGAACTCCTGCCTCACCTCAGCTCTAAGGGTTACAAGACCAAGTGACCATAGTTCAAAATCTCTGAAACTATTAAACTCAAACTTTTCTTCCTTCCAAGTTGATCATCTCTGATATTTTGTGACAGTGGCAGAAAACACACTAACATAAGTACCAAACACTAGAAAATGTACAATCACATAATCATAGCCACAAATGTCAATGATAAAACATAAGTATGAATAAATTGGTACTACTGGAGTAACAGTTGCAAATCTTCTAAAAATAAATGTGACACTATAGGCACCATATAAAAGATAAAGACTGATTCCCTAAATGACCAACTCCTAAGGTTCTAGAAGCTTTTTCCTGCTGTTGCTCACTATTAACCATCATACCTTGGCTTCAATTTGTCGATAGCAGGAGATACCATATACTGTGGCTCCATTTCCATTTCTGGGTGGCAAGTGAAAAAACACAGTATCTAAGGAATACAAAGAAAAACATAAATACTGAGGAAAATTAACCTTATTCATGAACAATGAAATGTGAAGCTATAATGCAGTCATTAACACAAAGATGACGGTGAACCCAGGAACCCAGGCCATACTTCTCTCCAGTACCACAGCCACTGGTTCTTAGAATTGCTCTCTATGTTTCACTATGTGTTCATCACAAAACCTAAGTGGCTCAAGTGTAACAGGTCAAACTAAGTGTGCAATTACAGAAACTACTTTATATGCAGGGATTGTTCCAGATTTAAAAACATAAAGTCATAAATACCAATGGCAACATGTGAATCTTGAGTGGCTCCAAGAAATTCTGGGGAAACTGGGGAAATGCGAACATAGGTTGATGGAGATGGTAGTATGGATTTACTGTTAAATTTCTACTGCGATAATAGGACTGGATGTCACTGGGGAATGACTGCGTTCTCAGGAGGTGCATGTGCTCAAGTAATGACAGGTCAAGGGTCTGTCACTATTTCCAAATGACTTTAGAACAGTATATGCAAACCTGAACACATACACAAATATGAAGAAAACTTGTAGAATATATACTATAATCTTGTTTGTTTGTCTGGTTTTGAGACAGGATCTCACTATGTGGCCCTAACTAGTCTGAAACTCATCACATAGACCAGGCTGGCCTCCAAAAAAAAAAAAAAATCACACAGGTTAGCCTGCCTCTAATGTGTGCCACCATACCCGGGAGAAAATCCACTATAATCTTAATTTAACTTTTCCATTAGGTTGAAAGTTGCCATAATAAAAGTTAGAAGAAAATATATTTTCTGAGGTTACAAACCCTGTATTAAAATATATTTTAAAGCCAGGCATGATGGTGCATGTCTTTAATCCCAGCACTCTAGAGGCAGAGGCAAGATCTCTGTGAGATGGAGGCCAGCCTGGGATACATAGCAAGTCCCAGGCCAGCAGGGGCTACAGGGAGATCCTGGCTCAAAAACAGACAAATTTATTTCAACTGCACGCTAACATTTATTATATAAGGAAATTATTAAATACTGTATTAGGAAAACAAGTAATCAAGCTAAGTTCAATGTAATTTAATTGAGGTAAAATAGTCCTTTATTAAGTCTGGCAAGAACTCTTTCAAATGATAGAAGACTCAGTGCAAACTTCAGCACTCTTCTCTGAGGATATAAACTCTCTTCATGCAAGCAAGCAACTCTGCAAGCACAGCCGTGAGAGTCACAGCTGCAGAGTTGAGGAGACATCTCACAGTGTCTTAAGGGCACTGGAGGGCCAACCAAGAAGTGTGGAGCTGGAGCTTCCATAGATGTGCAGCTGCGCAGCACTGTTTGGTTTCTGTAGAGCAGAGCCCCAAGCAGAACTGCCATGCTCCCAGGGGCAGCCGTCCTGTCTGGCTAAGCCCAAGAGTTCCTGGCAGGAGGGAGGCCAAGTGTCACTTCCATGGCCAATGGAAGCCTAGCACTCTCTGGAGGCTCTCTGGAGTGTGATCAGTCATATCCAAACAGCACATAAATATTTTACAATCACAACGGGCCCCAAAACTTTTATTTACCAAGGTAGTCAAGACTTTTAAGATGTCATGGTAACATTTTTCAAAAACTACATCCAATTATTGCTCCACTATTTAACTACATACCTTCCTGATAGTTGTGTGCACCATCTGGTAAGGCAAGGAAAGGCAAGTACTTCCATTCTTCAGGTAAAGTGTGGCTGTCGTGTCCCTCTCCTGGAATCAGCGGTGGGTAAGAGAATTCAACCTAAAATGGTAAAGACTGTTAGCTAAAAGGAAGACTCTGATCCTGACAGGCAGTGATGCTTTCCAATCCTGGATAATTGACGTAGGGATAAACCACACCCGTTGATGCCATTTGAGATTATCTGCAAACATGGCATAGAGGAAAAAATAGCAAAAGAAGGAAAGGTTCATAACCCCCCCCTCCTGATTTAAAGGCTCTAGCTGTAACTCAGAATGCTGCCTACTCATAAAACAGAAGTTTGGATACTACATACACGTCAAGAACTCTGTGTGCTAGTTAAGGTTGACTTGGTGCAGTGTTTACAACAGTTGTGTTTTGCTTTCTTTTTGAAGTGGCCTGAACTTCAAACAGCCAACTCTGTTAACACACTCACGAACTGCAGTCTGCCTGCGCTGTACTGGCAGGGTTCCGGAACGCTTGTGTCTTGCTGGCATACTTGCTATCAACAGATATTTGTACTTGAAAACTGATGAATTTGCTAATCATGTCCAACAGTTTAGCTCTTCTCTATTTGTACACATACAATTTTCATGGCTACATGGTATTTCTTTGTTTAGTCACTCCTCTTGTTGAACATTTTACATTTTTACAGCTTGAAGTAGCTATTACTCAAGTGTGGTATAATAAAAATGCATATATTTGGTCTTAGGATCTGCTCTTACAACAAAGCTCCTAAAATCCTTGGCACTTCCTGTGTGATAATTTATAATGAGCCCCAATACCTGAGCTTATACTAATAAGGTAAGTCCTAGGTAGCTTTAGGATGAGGGCTGGTCATCAGAAAGACCCTGCCTTGATTGGAAGGAGGGAACTTTCAAGCCTAACCTTTGATCTCTGGAGAGAACCTAAAGATTGAATTCAATAACCAATGGCCAATGTGTTAATCAATCATACTTATGTAATCAGACCTTTTGCCCCTCAACAGCAGGGCTCAGTGAGCTTGCAGGTTAAGAGCATGAAGATTCAGGAGAGCAGCATGCTGGAGAGGGAGTGCAAGCTTCCTGCTTCTCCATACCCTCCTCTTCACCTGGCCATCTCTGAGATGAAGGTTGCAGGGACCTTGGAATTTGTAGCTAAACTGGACAGAAGTGTGATTTGTAAACAGGCAGTCTTCTGGGGCTGTGGCCTTAAACTGTGTGTGTGTGGGGGTTGATGCTAACTCTGGGTAGTTAGTGTCACAACAGGTCAGAATTATATGACTCTAAGATCATATATGGACATTAAGTTCCCAGAGATTAATAAACATTCACACTGATCATTACCCATTAGTGATCGAAGAACATCTCTTGGTAGGGCATTACACACTATTGTGAAAGATCCCCTTAAAGGATAAATTTCTAGTATCACTCTTTAAACCAATATTCATGTGGCCAAATCTACCCTGATTTCAATTATTTACACATTTATTACAAAGACAAGGAAAAGGACAATGGCTGGTTCTAAAAGGTGAAAACAGGGCTGGAGAGATGGCTCAGTGGTTAAGAACACTGGCTGTTCTTGCAGAAGACCTGGGTTCAAATCCCGGCACCCACATGGCAGCTAACAACTGTCCCTAACTCCAGTTCCAGGGGATTCAACAGCCTCTTCTGTCCTCCTCTGGCATTGCATGACACGGATGCACTTACCTACATGCAGGCAATACACATAAAATAAATAAATTTTTAAAAAAGGTGAAAACAGAATAGGTTTTCTAATCACAAGGGATGATGTTTTTCATTTTCTTTTTTTTTTTCTAAACTCAATTATACTAAATGCTAAGTAACTATGTAGGAAAGAGTGGTTTATGTTTGTCCTTGAGGCACAGAAACAACAACCAGATGTGAATTGGAGATAAGACTCAGCAGGTAAAGGTACTTGCTGCCAAGCCTGACAATCTAAGTTCAATCCCTGGACCCCCCACACTAGAACACTGACAGGGACAAGTTTTTCTCTGGCCTCCACAAGTGTACTGCAGGGCTTGTAGTCTCTACCCAAAAAATAAGTTAAAATGTAATAATTTAAAAATCACCAGGTGGCCCTTTTCAATAGGATAAAAGTGATTGCTGTGCAAATCTGACAACCCTGAGTTTGATCTAGAGCCCATGGTAGGAGAGAACCAACTCTCAAAGGTTGTCCTCTGCCCTCCACATGAATGCCAAGGCACCTATGTACCTACAAGCACAGACAGACACACACACACAAATAATAAATGAAATAAAACAAAACAAAAGCAAGTTAGATTCTATTTTATCTTCAGAAAAAAAGAACAAAATTTGAATATGGTGCTAGACTCTGACAGTAGAGGTGGGAGTTCAGAACTTAAGTCTTCTTTGGCTACATAGTTAAGTTCTAGACCAGCCTGGGCTATATTACATAAGATTCTGGGGTTTTTGTTTTTAATATTTTATTTATTTTTTCATTCATTTATTTATATTTTATGTATATGAGTGTATTGCCTCCATGTAGGTAAGTGTACCCATGTCATGCAATACCCACGGAGGACACAAGAGACTGTCTGATCCCCTGGAGTTACAGACAGTTGTTAGCTGCCATGTGGGTGCTGGGATTCGAACTTGGGTCTTCTGCAAGAACAGTCAGAGTTCTTAACTGCTGAGCCATCTCTCCAGCCCTTGCTTTTGTTTAAGACTGAGAAAACAAAAAGGAAAAACTAGAACACTAAATACATGATTCTTACTTTCTATGTTTTACTTTTTCTTTTTTAAAAAAATTTATTATTTTTATTTTATGTGTATGAATGTATTGCCTACATGTATGTAGGTGCACCCATGTTGTGCAATGCCCTCAGAGGTCAGAAGAGGGCATTGGATTCCCCTGGAGCTAGAGTTACGGATGGTTGTCAGCCGCCATGTGGGTGCTGGGAATGAACCCAGGGTCCTCTGCAAAAACAGCCAGAGCTCTTAACTGCTGAGCCATCTCTCCAATCCCCACTTTTTACTTTCTAATGATGCAGTATCTATTCTGCTGATAAACAGGAGCCAAACCATCAGACACAAGTCGAACACCTTATCCACAGGCAGTCACCACACAGCATGGCTGACCAAGGAGCTTCCTGGAGCTGCTCTGCCTCTCTGCTCCTCTTCTGGGGACCCAGACTGGTTTTTTTGTGACTCAAATGTGGACAGCATTTCTTTACAGTCACAGCATTTTAGGCACTGAAGTTAAGGCTCTGTCACATGTTTCCATTTAATACAAACAAATAAAATACAAAAACACACAAACAAGGCTGCCGGTTAACACGTGCCTAGAAAATGTGAAACCCTGTGTCTCATCTCTAGCACCATAAAAACAAAACGAGAGCCCCCTGCCGTAGTCCAGCTTCGGGATTCCTAGAACCTGAGTGGAAAGGGTAGGGGATTAAGGAAGAAAGACACAGAACAGCTGGGATCAGGAGGACCTGTAGGCTGACTGCCAGGCAGGCACTTTACTGCAGAATCACAATGCTTTTATACCTAGTTTCAAAGCAGGAAGTCTTATTACTATAGAAGTTTTTACACAGAACTACAGGTTTCTTTGAGCCATCCAGTTTCAACAATCAGTTTCATTAATCATAATGTATTTGCATTAGCAGCACTGAAGCAGAACTTCTAAGACAGATATACACTTGGAGACAGGTTACTGGGGACCGAACTGTACAGGTTCAGGCCCAGATCATCCAGGCCTTGCCATTTCCTGTTGGCTGTTCTGGAGGTGAACTACCTACCTGCACCTGGCAGCCCTGAGCAGGCAGCTCCCAACAACCCCTTCCACAGGAGAGTTCTCTACCAGATCACCTAAGTGTGGTGCTTGGAATGAAGGGCCTAAGGTTTAGTGGTCAATGTATTTACCAGTCCAGTATTGATGTAAAAGTTTTAAATAAAGAATAGACACTGTGGGGTTGGAGAGATGGCTCAGCAGTTAAGGGCCCTGACTGCTCTTGGAGAAGACCTGGGGTTGGTTCCCAGTACCCACATGGGCACTAACAACCATCAGTAACTACTCCAATTCCAGGGGATCTGATGCCTCCTTCTAACCTTCTTGGGCACTGCACAAGTACTTATATACACACAGGTGATACACTCATACACATAGGGAAAAAAAATAGACACCATGGACAGGAACACAACGGGTAAATTCTCAGAATCACATGTCTAAGGGAAATGGGGTCTTTTTAAAACAAAATATTTTATGTGTATTGCCTGCATGTATGTGAGTGCACCCGTGTCACACAATGCTGCGGAGGTTAGAAGAGGGCTTTGGATTCCCCTGGAACTGGAGTTAAGGATGGTTCGTAGCCGCCATGTGGGTGCTGGGAATTGAACCCGGGTCCTCTGCAAGAGCAGTCAGTGCTCTTAACCGCTGACCCATCTCTCCACCCCCTGGAAAATGGGGTCTTTTAAGTTACTTGGCCTTGTCTCCTGGACCATTTCTGTGGGGTTGTATTAGAATAGTATGTGAAGGCAGCTCACTATTTTGAGGTATTTAATTTTAATCTTTTTGGAGACAGGGTCTCAACTATATAGCACTGGCTGGCCTATAACTGTGTAGACTAGGCTAGCCTGGAAGTCACAGAGATCTGCCCACCTCTTGCTGGGATTAAAGGTGGGCACCACCACACCCAACTGCTTACACTTTTTGTTTTTTAATTTTGCATATCTATATCTCTTCAATGAGGGTGCAGGGAGGTGTCTGTGGGAAGTGACCCAGGCTGCGGCAGTCTGAGAACCAGTGAAGAGAAGCACTTTTCCGAGGAAAGGATAGAGTTGGTGGAAAGGTTTCTGATTTGTAGAAGATCTGAGGGGGAAGAGGTTTCAAGAGATCTGAAGGTCTGAGGCTGGAGGCACCAATTAGATGGCGTGAAGCAGGACAGAGGGAAAATGAAGAGGACATAGAAAGGAAAAGGAGCCTCTCTGGAATCTGCTTAAAGTTTGCAACTCAGAGTAAAGAATTCCAACTCTATTATATTTGAAGCTTACAGTCTAACTTCAAGATCCACCAAAGTCCATATATATGGCCTCTAGGAAGACAAGACACTAAGGGCATTTCCTTGACAAGCCCACACCCACTCTTAGGTGTCTACTCTCCCTGTTCTACACCCTTGTCTCTGTAATAACCCCTGCTTAGCTCTATAGTAAAATCCATCAATAAAGTCCAACACTGTTGAAAAAAAAAGAAACCCCTTCTTCTTTTCTGACAAAATCAAACACTGAAGTTTCACATTTTTCTCTCAATGGTTTTTGCTTCTAAGTCCCTTAACAAGCCAGCTACTGCAGAACCACTGGCACTCTTCAACTTCACTACAAAGTTGGCAACAACTCACTGTATTTTCAACTGATTTCTGAAAGTTTGTGTTTATCAATGGCTCAATATATTCTACAGAATAGCTTCATGAGCACACTGAAGTCCCCAAAAATGGTTTTTAAAAAGTCTGTTGTAAAATTAAGAAAAACCAGTCTTAGTTTAAGCATTGTCAAAAAAAAAAAAAAAGCTACTGTCTGTAATCCCAACATTTAGGAGGCTGAAGCAAGAGGATTTTAAGTTCAAAACCTGAGTTACACAGTGAGATGCTGTCTGAAAAAAAAAAAAAAAAAAAAAAAAAAAAAAAAACACTGAAGTCTTTAGAAGTGGGAAAAATTCACAAAAGATAAAGCTCGACTAGCCTAGGTAGTTACTAGGTCATCAACATAGGTGTGTCAGAAAGCTGGGCTTATTCGACGTCCAGGGTATTAGGGTTCCAAACAGCAGCAGCTTCCCCCCTCCCCAACAGGGACCTATGGACTTTTGGAGCCTGAAAAAGGGAACTGCGCTGATAAGCACCTTGGCCTTTGAAGTCAAGGGAAACAAACTCTGCTGAGAAGCAGCCTGCCTTTCCTCTGATCAATGCTTTTTAGAAGCTGTTTAACACAGCAGCTTTTCCCTTATAAGAGGAAAAAAGTAAACACTTCCAGACTCAGATCCTGCCTGGCAGAATGAATGGAGCCAGGTTTACAAACCCTGCTTTTCCTGCTTCCCCCTGCTTGATTTTTTCCCCCCAAACTTCCCCCCCTTCTGCACCCTGAAGCCCCCGTATATAAGTCCCAGCTCACAACCTGTGGGCTCACATCTTTCCCTTCCCCGAGGAAAACGTGTCCCCTGAGAAATAAAGCTGTATCCCGCTGAGAGTTCGATAGTTCTCCACCCCAACGTTTTACCTATCAAATGGTGCCAAAACCCAGCTCTTACTTCAAGGGACCTCTAAACAGCAAAGTCATCATGCTTAACCACAAAGCACTGTTTAAAACAAAGGCATAATTTACCTCAAGTCACCTGAGTTAAAAAGTTGCAATATGGGATTTCTGAGGCCAGCAAGATGGCTCAGCAGGTAAAGGTGCTGCAGCTCAGTCCATGAGCTGACTTTGATCCTGAGAGTCACACAGTGGGAGGAAATTACACAGGATCTGATGGCACCTGACAAACTAGTTAAAAAGAACACTATTATCTGTAACAATGTTTCTAAGACTTATGCATGCAACACACACTTTCCAAAACATGAAAGGAAATTGTATTTTTTTCTTTTTGCAGTAATAGGGGATTGAACCCTGGGCTTTGTGCATGCTAGGCAATCACTCTCCCACAGAGCATATCCCCACCCCTTGTTGTTTTGGGGAAACAAAACAAAGCAAAACAACCAACCGATTTTCATGGTCATGTAATAATAAAATATCTGGTGGAAGAACCGTGAAGGAAAAACTGCTATTTCAATTTGCTGGTCTGAGTGGTGATGCCGTACTGGTCTCCTGACTTCTGGCACAACATTTACTTTACATAACCAGTCACTTTTGATATCTGTGCTGAAATCAAAAGCCAGAAAGGCAAAGAAACGCCATGCTGGGTGCGACTTCAGTCCCATGCGTTTTCTCTTAAGATCTGTTGTTCAATTTTCTCTAATCTCTATGTAGCACTACATAGTTTTCTTTCTAGAAACATATACTACCAATAAAAATAAGGACGAACACACAGCAAATCTTTACTTCAAATGACAACCAAAATTAAGAAACCTTATTCTTTCTCCTATCAATACAGGGATTTTCTTCTTTTTCCATCCAGTATAGTTCTGAAATGAACTTCTAGATTGTTATTCACCCCGAAGGCCTTCTAGTGTTACTGGAGATTGAACACATGGCACCGGAAGCAAGGTTACTTCCGACTCCGGGACTGTTTTGTAGTACGATCTCACCCAGATTATTTTACGGCCTCCGAGTTTTGTAACTTCACCTACATCCAAGGAAAGTTCTAAGCAACTATTGAGCACAGAGCTATAGGTAGGTGCAAATTGCTAACTCTTACCACAGAGAATAACGCTACTTTCTCAGTGTCTTTCTATAGCATTTTTATCTGAGGATCAAGTCTTTTTTGAGACAGGGTCTTGCTAAGTAGCCTAACTGGCTTCCAACTGGAGGCAATCATCCTGCCTCAGCCTCCAGAGGCCGGGACTGCAGATGGGAGCCAGCACTTGCGGCTTTCTTCGTCTTTCCTCTTCCTTGACTACTTTTCTGCGGTCCTACCGAGCTGCACTGCAACTAGGAAGTCTTGTAAATGTTACTTTCTGCGGAGGGCAGGAGCTCCGGCGCTGCACCACCTGCTAGCAGCAAGCCATCAGGGGTTTACAGCTGCATCCACCAAGGCTTATGACATCACTGCCTTCCAGCGTTTGCTCAGACGCCGAGGAACCGTGCTTACGTCACGCCTCTGTCGTATACACACACACCGGTAGCTGTTAAGCGTCAGCGGGGTCCGCTGTGCTGCGAAGGCCACCTACCCTAGGCACCCGCCCGGCCCAACCCGGGGAGGGGCGGGCCGGCCGACTGGCGGCTCCCCGAGTACACAAAGGCAGTGTAAACCCAGCACCGAAGCCCGGTCCTGCAGACCGACCAGCCCGCCCTCACCTGGCAGCCCTTCTTGTGGTGAAAGCCGACCACCACAATGTGCAGGACCGGCCCCCGCGGGCCGCCATCTCCCTCGCGCCGGGCCTTGTCCATGGGCGAGCCGACGCAGGCCGCACACCGACGCCAACCGCCCAGGCGGGCCGACTACAGCGGTCCTGAGGCGCCGAGGGCCGGGCCTTGGGTTGTCAGCCAGAGCGCCGCCCGAAGGCCGCCGAGGCGGACGCCCGCGAGCACCTCGCGCAGCTCCGCACAGCCTTGCCGGGTACCGCGCTGCTTCCTACATCCGCTTCCGCAATTTTCCGGCTGTTGACAGACGCTGCCACCGCCTCCGGAGGGGCGGGGTGAGACCTCGGGGGCCAAGTCTGCACAAGGGGCAGGACAAGAGGCGGACGGGCCGGGGCCTGAGGGGCGGGAGGGCGGGGCCTACAGGACGCGCGAGACTACGGGAGG